GAACAGGGCTGCCTCATACCCTGAGAGTTTGGAGTTCAGGCAGGTGAGCACAGGTCTGCCTGAGTAGATATTATTGTTGAAAATGAAGACCTTTCTCTGAATGCCTAGGCTAGCCTCAGCAGCCTAGGGCAGTGACACTTCCTCAGCTTCTCCTTCTCTGTTTTTTTCACAGCCTTCGTCTCGAAGGGACAACCTGAGGCAATGGAGGAGGTTTGCTCTTTGAGACTGCCCGTGTGATAGCTAGTCAGGTTTCTAGATGCATGCCCTTAAGCGGGGATTAAATAAATGGATTTGGTGGTTGCAAGATTATGATTGCAGATTTCAAAAAGCCTTTTTTGTCATTGGCCAAAATCATATCCCGTAAATTTCTTTCATCTCTACCACCAAATGTAAATTGTTGACATAAGTTTTAAATCTAACTTGTGCCTGTTTGACTTTTTCCTTCCTTTGCTTGCTTTATCCAACTTTGCACATCTCTGTAATAACTCTTAGTCTCCGGAGGAACTTTCCTTGGCTGTGGGGGCTGATGGGACTGGGGAATCGTGTCCCTGAAGCTGGAGCTTTGGCTGTTGTGCTGCCTTCTGGACATAGACCAGAGTAAGCAGCTCTGAATGAAAGGATGGTCCAAGTCAGAACTCTAGGCAGGGACCACATGAACCCAGCCGACCCTTTGGGTATCCTTTATGATCCTTGCAAAGCCTCTTAGGACTCTATGCATGGATGAGTGCAGGCAAGCTTGCCCAGTAAGCTGCTCGGGTGCGGGGTGGTTCTGGTTGGTGTTGGCGCTGTGCTCCCTCACCCTGCAGACTCCCGGCCTGGAGCTGCCCCCCGTGCCCGGCCGTGCCCCGAGGCTCCTCCGTCTGCACAACGGGAGCAGCAGCGCTCAGCACCTGCCTCGGTGAGGAAGGAAATGTTTGGTGATGAGTTCCCACAAACACTCCGCAAATATAACAAGGCCCCTCGTTATTTGTTTGATTGCCAAAAAAAATCTCGTTTAGTGGGTATTCCTCCCTTGATAGTAACAGATATAGAACTTCCTTTTCCCATGCTCAGTCTGCTGTATTTTTGATTTCTTTAAATGGAGGTAAAAGCAAATGTTACTTCTCTGATGATATAGGCTGAAGAACTCTTCTGCATATCTTTTTCTCTCTTGTGTGCTTTGGAGGAGGCAGAACTTGAGCAGATGTCTGGCCATTATTGAATAGCCATTGCTGGCCACTGAATTGGCCAAAATTGGAAACCTGTATTCTAGATTAACAGAACGGTGAGGGTCTATACTGCTGAAAAGCTGTGCGGCAGTGAACCCTGCTTGCAGCAGGAGTGAGGATTGAGATGCACAACTCGAACTTGCTCATTTGCTCTAAACCAAAATACTTCAGACTTTAAACTGGGCTCTACTTGTGGTGAGAGAAGCTGTGAAAGTTGCACTGGGGATGATGCAGGAAGTTGGTGAGAGTGCTGCAGATTTGACACTTCTCCCACCTCCCCTTTCCCCCAGCTTCTGGAAACTGAGGCACTGGAGCTGCCTTACTGCAGCTCCTGAGAGGGTTGAAAGTACTTATGGAAGGAGCAAGTGGGAGCAGTTGATGTTAACTGTAGTGCTAAATGAGACTTAATATAAACCTGAGACTAAAGAGTGGAGCTGGGGGAAGTTCAGGACTGGGGCTTTGCAAGGTGGATAGACCCTGTCAGGCGGCTTCCTGCGGATGGCAGAGGTAGCCCCATCTCCCAGCCGTGTATTCCCTGTGCATCCATCGTGCCAGTGCTTGTGCTCAATGTACCCCTCGGTTTGCTGGTACCGTCCTCTGGACAGCCGAGCTCGCCGAGGGATTAAGGGAGCTCAGGAGCTGGTGCGAATGGAGGCAGTGAGACTCGCAGGGCTGGGTGGAAGCAGCCGGCGAGCGTTCGGCCGGCTGTGCGCTCTCATGAAGCCTGGCCCGCCCTAAAGAACAAACAAACAAAAAACCTTCTTTGTTTCCTGCAAAATGCTTCTTTCCCTGAAAAATCAGTCTGTCTAGTCCTAAAGCCTGCTACTGCACGGCACATACAATCCCTCTCCTGAAAGGCAACTCCATCTCCAATGAGGTGGTTATCTCTTAGGAACCGTAAATGAACTCTTATGTGACTTGCGTTCAGTGGTGAAGTTAACTAATTTATTCTATAAAATATATAGTGCTTACAGTATGGCATGTAATTGTTGAAATCTTAACCTTTACATCTCTAGTTCTGATTTTTTTTCTGTTTCTCTCCCACCTCACAATCTTACTACTTCATTTACAATCTCTGCATAAAACACATTACTGGAATACATTCAAGTGTGTATTTCTTGGACTTAAAAAATACAGTTTTGTGAAACGCAAAGCACCACTTCTCTGAGGTAACTAATATCTTGTAAATCCAATGTTTGTGCACCTGTTCACAAAGAAGTAGCCGCTTTGAGCACTTGGGCACATTTCACTTTCTGTGGAATGCGGATCTATAGGACTTGTTCTATGAATTTTTTTCACTTACAGCATTTCCTGCCTTTCTTAAAAGCGGATTATGAAAATGGTTATTTTCTATGTATTTGTTTAGAGACTCTATTCCTGTAGTACATGTGTGCCTCCATTATGTGTGAAGGACCTAAATATTTCTGTGGCATCTTGTATATTTCCTGTCTAACTTGTACATGGAAAAGGAGATGATTTTGCTGCTTTTTAGCAAAGATTCAATAGAACAGAAAAGTAGGATCTAATATTAAAGCTTATTTCTTGAAGTATGCTGCAGTAAATGTACCAAGCGCATTATGAGGAATTGTTGTAGTTAGAACTTGGCTATGTGTTCCTTCAAAAAAGAACATTTTTTCCCCTGTTTTGAAGCATCATGTTTAGTTACTTGATCCGAAGCCTTGCTTTGTGTATTCTTATCCTATAGGTGGCTGTGACAATATTGTGTTTAATGTATTGTGAACTATTCTGGGTGTGCGAGTGAATGAGATTTTTAATCTTCTAATAGAATAAGTTTTAACCACAGTACTGTGCTGACCATTTCTTAACAAAGCATGTCAGGGACATCTCATGCTCATGGTAATCCTTGCCTGTTCTCTCGTGGTCACATAAGTATCCCTTGGTCCATGAGCACTGCTGACCTGCTTTGTTAATGCTGCCGCTGTGCTGCGAGCTGTGTTGGAACCAAGTTTAGCAGCAGCGTGTGCACAGCAAGTGCTCTGTATCTATAAAATGCAACTTGGGTGTTTATTTTACTGTCCCTGTGCATGTTAAGCTGGAAGCGAGGGCCGCTTGCCCTAGCTTTGAGGCCGGGGGGATGAGGTGAACGTGGGCAGGATGGGGGTAGGCGCGTGGCCGTCGCTTGGTGCCCCAAGGCCGCGTAGGCCGCTCGGCCTGCGGGGTGAAATCCCTTCTGTGGGAAGGGGGCTGCGGAAAGCAGAGTGAGTTAAGGAGGCTGTAGAAATTGATAAAGATAGGGCTGTCTGTTTTTATATTCTGCCACATAACAGGGGTTTAAATGAATTTCCCTATAATTTGTCTTCAAATGCCGACATGTAACTCTTAGGCTGTATAAATGAACTGGCTTTTCCTAGAGTAAAATTCATGCCCTGCGTCCAGGCTAATATGCTCACCTACTATAAACATTACTGCCTATGGTTACAGCTGGAATAAAAAATTCCTTTTATATACATCATAGCTGGCAGAGATTCCTGAGACCATCACAAATCACTTCAGCCTTTTGGTGCTCTCTGACAAAACGAAGTGAAATGTAAAACAGCCCAGGCTTGGGGCAGTTGGACTCTGGAAGCGTTTAGCGTGTTTGGACTGTTGTTTGTATCCTCCCATTTTTTCCAGGTGCTGAGCAAAGGCATTCCAAGAGCTTTCCTTATTAATTTAACACTGGGGGTTAACAACCTTTTCTTCATTCTTTCTTAAAATGTTGTGCTCACCCTCTGTTTAGCTTTTTATTTAAGCAAAGCAAAAGAAAAAAGAAAAGAAAAAAAATCCCCTCCCTCAACAGAAGAAAGGAAAGAAGTAGGGGGGGGAAAAAAGCCAGGGTCATAACAGGGAATAACAAAGCAGTGAGTTATTTATGCAGCTGTGATTGGCAAAAATGATTGCAACATGAATTTGCCCAGAAGCAATGATTAGATCATAAAAATGTTAAGGAAATCTGTAACTCAACACCATTTTATAGATTAAAGAAGTTTTTGTTCCTTACCTTAATTGTGGTGACTTGTTATTAAAGTATTTATTCAGAGTAATCTCTTTGGACAGCGAGCCCTTATCCCATCTGCATGCATAATTAAAAGTGAGGGGGGATGAAGGGGGAGTGTAAATGGTTTACCATGCTACATGAGCAAGGGAGGGAATTACACAATGACAGGTGAAGAGCAGATTTATCTCCTGTTGGAATTTCAATGCTGCAAGCAAGTCAGGACACTTGCTTGCTAATATCCTTGCAAACACCACAGTTGCTGCTTCTGCAGATTACTGTCCCAAAATCATTTCTGGTCCCTAAAAGGCCCATTACTCTGCATCTGTGGCTGTGGTTTTTGAGCTGCTAGTGCTCAAGCAGGGGGTTTGGATTTGGGTATGTGGGCTTGTGAATCCAAAAAAAAAAAAAATTTTGGATTATGCTTCAAAATTTCCTTGGCTGACTATTTATTTATTTATAAATAAACATTGGTGGTGTCTGGATACAAATCAGAGGGTTGTAATTGTACCAAATGAAACAATGTGATCACTTGCCTCCTGCAGCCATCCCTTCTCCAGTGATAAAAGAATTTGGTGCAATTCTTCTTTTTCTCCTTTGAGAGTAGAAAGAAAGTTTTACTTGAACATTTATCTCCAAGTAGATTTATCATCATTATGCGGTACTCAAGCTCACAGTATCTGTTTTTAAATTGAACTGTTACATATGTAAATCAAATTTACCTGGAATAAGTTGGTATTTATTTGACTGTAACTATACACTAAAGAGCACTTTCTCCTTAACTTCTGATGTCTCACCTCTACAGCAACAGTACAGAGAATGCCAGGAACTTCTGAGCCTGTATCAGAAGTACCTATCTGAGCAGCAGGAAAAGCTATCACTCTCCCTCTCTGAACTCAGGGCTGCCAAGGAGAAGGAGCAGAAGGTAAGGTCTTTCCTCTCATGTCCATTTTTATGATATCTTTTAAAACATCTTTTTGTTTTTTCTAGAGCCATAACTGAAGCATGTCATCTTGTATTATACAAGGTTGTAAACTCTTTGTCATTGGCTTCCTGTGACTCCCTTTCTTAATACATGGATTGCAAGGAAGCAGGAGCCTATTACAGGCAAGTTTTGGACCAATAAAATGGGTGAAATTAATTGACCATTTTGTAATGCAGTAGGAGCCACAGGAATGCATTTCCTTGTTAAAGAAAAAGATAAAGTGTCCTCCTATTTTCTTTGCTTGTTTTATTAAAAAATAAAATAATGCCGTCGCTTAGATAAGCCTTTAAAATTTTCATTGTGGATTTTGATAGTTGAAAAGGAGATTACAGGTAATGCGTTTTGTCAGTATGAACTTTATGAAGTTTGTAAGGTAGTCCATCTGATGTGAGCTTTTCGTATAAGACTAAAACTGAACCTGCAGTTGAAAAACAGAAAATGTGGACTAGGGATACAATATGTTAAACAAAGCAGTAAAATGGTTCTCAGTTATATCTGCTCAAATACTTAAAAACATTGTTGTCCTTTGATTTCTCCTGAGAACTAGGTACTTTATTTGCGTTTCTATTGATAGGTAGCTATACCCAGAGAAACAAAGCAGTTCATGCAAGTACCCTACCCAATGTTCTTCTTACCTGCTATTATTTCCATTGCTTTCATGTGCAGATCTCCATCCCAAATCTATCTTGCCTAAGACTGTGCTTTTTGAGCCCTTGATCTTTTGCTAAAAGAATCTTAAAGGCTTATAATGCAGTCGCAGGTTTCCAGAAGATGGCCTGATTTTTGCCTCTCAGTAGTTCCTTGATAACTAAATTGCCCGGTCTGTTTAGTCTGTGCAGAGAGGGGTTCATAGGGGTACATTTTTAGTTCTATTCAGGAAACAGGTAGCACTACTTCTAACTTTGTCTTCAACAGAATTCATTTTATCCTGTCAGTTTGTGCTTTGGTTTTGATATTGAGCTGCTTATCAAATCTTTAGCATCTCTATGCATTTTTCTTTCATTCTTTTGTACATTTCTCAGACATCCATTTTGTGATGGTGTTAATTTCCTAGAATAAGAACTGTTTTCTCTGAGATTGGGCCGTGTTAGGCTGCTCATCTGTAACCTAAAACTGGCTTGGGGGATCATAATGAAAAACTAGTTCTGAGGATCCACTTAAGCCAACAGCATGCCCAGATTTTGGATAATGGCATTTCCTCTCTTTGGTTGAGCTGGGCTTGAAAGCTTTCATTGATAGCCTGTGTATTTTGTCCCACATTAGTTACTGGTATAAAGATATCTAGTTTTCCACTCCATCTGCCATGCCCAAAAGTATAAAAATAGACTATACTTAAGGCTGTTAACTGTCAAATCATCATCTGACAATGCAGCAGTCCACCTTCATCTCTTTCTGTTCCTGATCACTCTTATCAGGGCATATACAGGGAGTATTTTGAAACTGTCTGGCTTGTCTATTTGTGGGGTGCTGTCAAGCTTGTGTATTATCTTGCCCTTCCCTTTATACTTTCAGAAAGTTTTGTCCACAACTGCAGATTCAGATGTTATGTCCACGCTTGTCTTGGTAGTTTATCTATGGTTATGTAGTCTACAGCTCCTGCCCAGCAGATCCGAAATCACCTTAGCTCTCTTAACCCATTCAAAGCTCTGTAGACATAGATTTAAAACTGTCAAAGCAAATCTCAACTGGTCCCTTTCATAATGTGCAACAATATTTCTGATTTTCTTGAAAAGAGTTAGGTTTCCTCTTCACTTTTCTCTATTTAGTCTTGATGGACATGGAATTACTTATATTTTGTCTGCATTTGGCTTTATAAGTTTTTTGTTTGTTTGTTTGTTTCCTCCCAAACAAGTCCTTCAGTGTGCTTCTCCTTTTGACTCAAAAACAAGGAAAATTTGCAGGACTACCTTATTGTTTCAGTTCTTTCCCTACATATGATACCTATCAAAAAAAAAGACCCTGGGCTGCTTGTCCCTGGATTATGATGCTATTTTTGCTTTGTTTGTTTGTGTTTTCCGTCTTCGGTCTCATGTCTTAATACTTGGACTGTGACCTCTTAGTGTTGTGGTGGGTCACTTTTTGCTCGAGTGTTTTGCCAGACAGGAAAAGGACGTGCATACTGGTGTAGCACATCATTGGGGTATTCCCTAGGAGCACAGCAAGAGAGGATCTTAGGAGTAAGAACTGGGAAGAAGGAGACCAAAAGCCTTCCCTACTGCTTCGAGTGAATCGCACCCTGGCTCTTCCTAGGCTGCTGAAGCTTCTGCTTTCTCTCCACCTCTGCAGCTGGAGTTGAGAAAAGCTGTCCTAGTTAAACAGGTTTAAAGATGGGGCTGAAAGAAGCCTTTCCTGAGTTTTATTTGAATCCTGAGCAAAGGAAGGACTGGGTATGTTTAAATCAGGTGCATGGTTACATTCTGGACTAAAGTATCATTTTGTTCTGCTCGTTATGAACTCTTCTTTCTGGTTTCTGTTCACTTTCCCCTTTTGTTCCCCTGTTTTTCTGACTTGTTTTCAGTGCTGCACCTGTACCTCACTCTTTACCTGTCTTGCTCCCTTTATCTTAGAATAGGATAACACTGACCACGAGACTTTCCCCTGGCCTTGGGCGGGTATTTGAAAGCGTTGCCTTTTGGTGTTTAAATGATGGATTTTAGTGTTAGAATGAGGAAAGTAACAGGTCAAGAGAACTGCAGTGTTTCCAAACTTCCCTCGTTCTGTTAGCATGGAGGTACATGGGAGTAAAATGACTCCGGTAGCTGTGCGTGTGCGTGGCTGAAACACCATCCTGCTGCTTATCTGCAGTGACCTAATGCAGCTACTTTAACGTTATATTTTTGTTTGTTTTAGCCCCATAGATAGGGAACACTAATTCTGAAATCACATTTTCCTCTTACCTAATATTGCTCCTTTATAACAAAAGCTAGCTCTCAAAATTTAAAGAGACATTGTGGTAGTAGTGAAATAAAATTGCAGGGAAAATGGTGGTGAGATGATTTAAGACAGAACTCTTGCGGAGTCAATAATCAGTAACTGGAACATGAAGCTTCCTTTTTTTCATGAGATAAAGTTAATTCCATTTGAAAAGATACTTAAGGTGACATGAACTGAATTATTCAAACTGGCCTTCTCAGCATTAACTCTAGGTTAATATCTCATGATGCCTCTGGTTTCATTATAGGAGTTTTAAGTACATAACTTTTTATAATAAATTCAATACCTAGAAGCTGAACTGAAATTGGTTTACCTTCTACCAACCCATAAAAAGAAGCATTAATTGTAAAGTGAATATTAAAGTGGTCACTAAAGTTGACTCAGACAGATTTGAAGCGATAGCTCGTGTGCAAAGGGAGTGAAGAGCTCTGCTGAACAGTGGGCTTCTACCCTCATATTGATAGAAATACCATCTGTATTAAAACATAGTTAAATCTCTTCTATCAAATATGATTTTTGGATGTTCTTTCTGCGGCTCCCAAACACTCAGCCTTTGCCATTTTCAGAAGCGTTGCACAGAGGTGTAAAGAAAATTGCCCTTGTTTTAGGTAATCAGGGCTGACCTAGTTATACAGGCCCTGCTTTGCTGCCATCTCAAACACTGGCAAGAATCCAGTTTACTTTGGCAAGTGTCTGGCTGCTGAAAGCTTGTTGGAGATGTTCTGCAGCTTAGCGTAGGACTTGAATCCCAAGATTTGAAGAGGAGGCTGAGTTTTTACAGGACTGGAGTTCTTGGGCTCCATCTAAAAGAAGGGTTGTACCTGTTGCCTTGTCTATTCACGCTAATCTTTGAATTTACAAGTGCAGCTGGCAGCTTTTATTTCTTATTTGTATAAGATGATCAGCGCATCTGTTAATTCCCTTGGCTTGCACAGATTGTTCTGTATGTCTGTTAAGGTTTCTGTACGTAGAAATGCAATAGATGTGGGTAGAATTTGAGATGGAAAGGACTATGAAGAATTTCTTATTTTCAGTGGGGTATCTCCTCCCTCCTTTTCCTGTGCCTGTCTCTTGTTCATTGTATTCCAGTAGTGCTGGAGGCCCTCATCAGGAAGGAGATATTGTTGTGTGGTAAGCAGTGTGCAAGCCTGCTGTAAGATGTGGTCTGCTTTGGGAAGATTGTAAGATTTTAAGATGATGAATTTTTCAGAGGGAGGCTGAATTTTGTAAATTTTTTTTTAATATTATTGTTTCTTTAAAGTCACTAGTTCATCTTAAATGTTGTTGACATAATTGTGGTGTCATTTTGCAATGAAATCCAAAGAAAACTGTTTCTTGGAAGTACTAGGAAGTCTCGCTTTCTTTTTATGTCAGTGACTAAAATTCTTGTCCGTATCATTGTCATTTTTTGCTTTAATAAGGGCAATTACATACCAAAGCTTCAAATATTGGTTTATTTGAATTTCTCCTTTGAAAGCGATATTGAAGAAAGTAAGTCAGCAGAAGCCCTTCCTTTCTGCTTCTCCTAAAGTTGTTTTTTTTTTCTCCCCAGGTCACCTTTAAACACATCCATAGCTTATTTAAAGAAAAAAAAATACCACGTATGCAAAGGGTTTTGAATGCTATAAGGTAAACTTGCATCACTGAATTTACTTTGTCTGTTTACCCAGCTGGACTGGAACAGTGGATGAGGCCGTCTGAAAGATACTTGAGAATTGGCATAATAAATAAAGAACTAATTTGACTGTGGACCCAAAGGTATTGGAATAATTTTAGGAGGCCAGACAAAGGCGAAGGTTCAACATGAGTAAATATCGAGAATAGCTTTCCTTTTACCTGTACTACTTTCAGCAAATCCACTGATCTATCTCTGTGCCTCTCTTATCTGTAAGAGGGAGGTAATGTTTTTTTTGTCCTCATTCTTTCTGTCTTCTGCTGAGAATGTGAGGCTCTGGGAGCCTTTTTCTGCGTGTCAAAAGCGGAATGGAATTTCAAACTCAGGGTGG